AACAAATAAGAATTGGAATCCAAATAAGAGAAGAGTAACATTAACTTGTTCAGATTCTCTCGCGAATCTATACGAGGCAAAATTGCATTCCTCTTCTCGAATACTTATATATGTAAAATAAAAGCAAGCAAAATATTATTTACTTCTAGCAAATATGTATGCCTTTATGACATCACAGCAAAATGTAGTTTGTTTATCTTATCTTAAAATGAGCATGCGCTATGATAAAATAAATTTATTCTGAATATTTATCTTGGCATTTAATTAAGAGACAAATGAAAAATATGACTTAATATATATTTATATATAAACTCTTGCAAAGAGCGCGAGGACATTTTCCACAAGGATTTTTTTTCATATACCAACTCTTTGAATACATTTAATAAATCTGAGATATTTTCGTATGTGCTTATATGAATTTCTAGACAATTAATTTTATAAATTAAAAGGTATATAAATATTATAAAATATATATATAAGCACTAAGAAAGAGTGAATTTTTTATTTACATTAATGCTCTGAGATATCTCAACTCTCTAAGGAAAATTAAAAACATTTCTGTGTTTTCTTGCAAAACCAAGAACATCTCGCAAAATCCATCAAAATTACATCGTAGTAAAACGTAAGTGGTTAGTTTATGACCTCTTAAAATATCATAATCCAAAACAATAAGTAAAATACAAACATAAAGATAATATTAAAAATGTATGATATTTAATTAAATTTTGGTAAAATAATAGATATTAAATTTGCCTTTAAAAAAAAAAATAAAGTTAGTCAAAAGAAGAGCGACAAATTTGCATAATATTTCGCATTTTTAGGTCTTATAGATAATTTCCATGTCTTATATACAAAGACAATTCTGTTTGTCGAATATTTTCTACTTACAACAATTTATTATTCAAGCTTCCTCATTAACATTTTAATACAATAGTACCCAACAATATTCATACCAGAGAATGGACAATTTCTTTATCTTTTCTAATTACTACGTTATAATTCGTGTAGTCCTGCGAGACAACTGGCATGTATGTTGCGGCTACACTTCAGTTCACAAGAGCCGCGTCACTCTCACTAATTACTAGAAAATTAATCTCCGAGGGAATACTGTCTACATTAAGAATAGAATGCAAAGGGGACTTGAAAAGTATTATGAATTAAACCGCGCGCATTCCGGAAACAGAAGTAATTCGTGTAAAATAAGCATATCCATTTCAAAGAGAATTCCAATAACACGAAAATGAAACACATTATGAGAACACACATTATAAGAAATTGTAAAAATTCTTCCAATTCTCTATGACTTAGCATCCATCTATTTTCTTAAAATTGATCTTTATTGCGCTTTATATAAAAATTTCATTTATTTTTATCTAGTACTTAGAGCTCAGTACTGTGAGCTCATATTTTTCAAAATGTACGTGAAAAAAAGCAGAAAACAGTAATCGTGCAAAACACAAAGAATTTAATATAATATAATTAATATAATTCATTATAATCAGTTTAATGTCGGAGATGATTTGAATGGTGAAATAAATTACATGAATCCGACAGCACATTAATTAATTAAATAAATCGCAAAAACAATATAAATAACTTGCAAATTAATATTAGCCATCATATTTGACATTTAATTGTACAAAACTTTTATTGTGCAAATGTAACATAGGTGAATTTTATAAATTTAATAAATTAGTTTAATAGTAAATGACCAACTGCTAGTAGACACCGAAAAAAAGTGAACATATATCTTGTTTCATAAGATGTATTATCAGAGTTACCAAGTTACGTTAGAGTTATGACTTAAATGTCATGTAGTATTTCTTGTGTTTTGCATAATACAGAATACGTAATGTTCTATCATAGACAATATTCGAACTTGTACATCATAAAATATTAAAAAATAGAAAGCCATGAAAAGTTGACATTTTGACTTTATCATGTAAAGGATTTATTTCTTCTGCATTGCATAAATTTCAAATTTAAATCACATGTTAAAATTAAAGTAAAAATAATAATAATTGTATTTTATAGATAGAAATTTTCTTTTAATAATGTTTTAATTTTAAATCTACTTTAAACAATTCATAAATTCGCATTAAATATTACAAGAAATAGAATTTTACTTATTTTATTAAAATCATTAAATTTAATTATAAATTAATTATAAAATTATAGTGTAATTTTATATATCGTTTAAATATATAAGTGTATTTTAATATATATTTTAATATATATTTATTTTTTTATTCTCCCTTTCTCTCTCTCTCTCTCTCTCAATTTTGTTATAACATAGCACATAAAATTATAAATAGAATTCTATTCCTCGAATATATTCTCAAATTATGGATTGTTTGAAGTGAGATTCCCTGTCTTTCGCTTCTAAAAATATATAGACTCAAAATTTAAGATAAAATCAATGATTTCCGTGATTGATTGATGAAAAAATGTGTTTATCATTTTATTACAAATTATCTAGATTATCTAAATATTTTTAACAATATCTCCTAATTTTATTTAAATAAAAGTGTCTTGTTTAAAATATTTATAACATGATATTAACTATTATTATTTTAAAAGTTTTTGTGTTTCTCCTCCTAAATCAAAAAGTTAACTTTATCAAAAGTTAACTTAAAAAATACTTATCGCGTTTAATATCTTGCCAAAAAATGGATTGAAGAGAACGTTCATTTCAACGTTCGCAAATACGTAAATACTTCTGAAAGTCTGAATTCATTTCAATGCCCAGGCATTGAAATCCATTTTTTTAATTTATTTTCGTTTGGGAAAACTTACGTGGGGCCCAGAACGACCGAATCGAAGACGTAGCGACGGCGATCGCTGCGACTTCCGAATCATCAGATGCTCCAGCGGGATGCCGCCGAAGCCATTGTCATACGCGTTACGTTGCAGCAGGAGCCTGTACAGTTCGTGGATGTTGTCCGCGGGCATTTTCTCCGCCATCTCTTCTGTAACGTGTACAATGTGCATACGTGATCGATTACGCGCCCGTGTCAGTGTTTTAAAGCAGAAAAAATAGTAAGTTTAACAAATATAATAAAAAAAAAAAAAGACTTTTAACACTATTTTTTTCTCCGTTGCGTGTATTGTACCAAAGTCGATATAACACTTCCCTCGCATTAGCGATCATTCCTCTTGAATCTGTGTGTATCACCTCTTTAGAAATTAGAGGTACTAATGTCTAAATGAAAATAATATTTTCGAGTTACGATAGAAGTTTATTTTTTATAGGAGGATAGATGATATTTTTCGTGATATAAGTAACACGAGATACGTACATATATTAGGTGTACAAAAAAGTTCTGAGCTTTTTTTTGTAAAATTCAATCTTTATTCAAAAACAAACAAAAAAATATTAATCAGCAAAATATTCCCCGTTTGTATCAACGACCTTTTGCCATCTTTCGGGTAGCTTGCGAATTCCTTGACGATAGAAGCTCACCGGCTTCAAAGCGATAAAGTCATCAATGCATTTTCGTATCTCTTCAAATCTCACGAAATGTGTCATCAGCCAAATGATGCTGCAGCGACCGGAATAGGTAGTAATCGAAAGGCGCCATGTCTGGGCTATACGCCGCGTGCGGGAGAAGTTCCCAGCAAAGATATGTTCCTGAGTCACTTTCGCAACATGTGGTCGAGCATTGTCATGAAGCAAGATCACTTTACGACGTCCTTGGCCAGTAAATGGCCTCTTTTCTTCTAATGCATCGCTCAAATTGGTCAATTGTTGTTGGTAGCGGTCTGCCATGATTGTTTCACCCGATTGTAACAACTCGTAATACAACACACCTTTCCAATCCCACCAGATACAGAGCAAAACCTTCTTGGCGTGGATATTGGGCTTTGGCGTCGATGTCGAAGGTTGACCAGGGTCAACCCATGATTTTCTACGTTTAGGGTTATCATAAAGAATTCATTTTTCATCGCCTATAATGATTTTGTGCAGAAAATCTTTTTTCCGGAACTTTGAAAGCAAAGTGAGTGCAGTGTCACGCTGACGATTTTTGTTGTCTTCGGACAATTCATGCGAAACCCATCTGCCTTCCTTCTGAACCTTTCCCATCGTATGTAAACGTACGGAAATGGTTTGCTGCGTAACGCCAAGCTGTTTTTTTTGCAAGCTCCTTTTCAGTTTGCGCAGAGTTTATATCCAGCAGTGCTTGCAATTCGTCCGTTTCAATCTTTTAAGGGCATCCAGCACGCGGTTCATCTTCAAGACTGAAATCTCCTTGGCGAAATTTTTGATATCATCTTTTACATGTAGTATGACTTACAGCGTTCTCTCCATATGCAGCACAAATCATTGCAGTGGCTTCAGCAACATTTTTCTTCAGATGAAACGCGAAGTGGATGGAAAATCGAATATACTCTTTTGTTATTGCCATCGTGAACACTACTGATTTTTGAGATTATGTGCATCAAACGCCAAACCGTATGGCATTTTAGAAAGCCAAATGTCAACGCTTTAAAACCGCAAAAGGGCGGGAAGATATATAAAATTTAAATTGTTACTTCGGTTGTATGAAATCTAAAACTCAGAACTTTTTTGTACACCTAATATATATGTACGGGGTAATAATAAATATAAAGATATCACTTTTATGAACTTACGGTACTTTTCTTTAAAAGAAAATCTTAAAAGAATATCAGATTTTTCCTCTGTATTTTCTTACATATATAATAAAAAGTGCTCGTTACAAAT